GACAGGAATTTCAGCCTTGTTCTGGCCTCATTTTGAAACCCACTACCAGTCAGCCCAAAAGTAAATGGGTACCTGGGGAATCAACAGTGTTAACCATATCATTTCCAGATGAACCTTAATTGTGTTATCTTAAGGTAGGTCATAGGTGCCTCCTGGGGGGGGGACACGGGGGGCACATACCCCCCCCCCTGAGATTGCCTAATGCCGATGCTGGTGTCTGCGGGAAGTCCCTGCTCACCACTCACCACTGATGCTGCTGCCTACAGATGATGCCTCCCCAGTCTCGGGAGGCACCAGTTGTTCACAGGGTAGGAACAGACATTAAGGAAGGCTTGGAGGTGTTTAGATCATGTTAAAAATGGCCATTCCGTCTAACCTCAATCTAACTAGTTCACCCACATGCAGACCTTACATTTAGATCCATAGTTAGGTAAGTCTAAGTGCTAACTATATAGAAGTTCTAGGAAGGTTGGATCAGTCAAAAAAAAGAAAAGGCCAATCTGATCTAATTTAAATGTACCTCAGAGGTTCACTAAGTTAGATCAGATACTATTAGACCAAGCTAACTGAACTTTTGTATATATTTCTTGACCAGCCTCAGGACTGGGAAAGCCCAGCCACTGTGCTTTTCCTACCCCCACCAGTACCAGGCTATTTTTAGCCCCCCAGCCCTGCCCTCCTGATGGACAATGCCCCTTGCAAACCAACCAGCTTCCTGAATCCATCAAACTCCCTGATCCTACAAGCTGCTCCTAGTGATGGTTTTACTGGCATTCATGAGTGCCAGGAGCTGATCAAAATAAGTCAGGGTGTGGAGAGGGGCAGGCAGGATCAGGGGGTTGATTCACCATGGGGGTTGTTCATCTGGAAGGAGGGAGGGCTAAAAATAGCCCTTTGTTAGGGGAAAGAGAGAGACCCTCGATTCTGCCAAACTGCCCCCACCTCAACTTGCTTTGATCCAGATCCCAGCATTGGTGAATCCTGGTAAAACTAGCCCCAGGAGTGGTTTGAGGGATTGGAAGTGGTTCAGCGGCATCAGGGAAGGCTAGGAGGACTGGGGGGAGATTAGCAGCATTGGAAACCCTCACTGATCTCGCCAACCCCTCAAGTCCCCCCAAAACCCCCACAGAACCTGCAAGTCCCCTGATCCCTCCCTCTAGCCAACTTATGTTAGATCAGGCTTTCAGCCCCTATTTTATTACTGAGTTAGATTGCAGGGGGATATTTTTTAACTTGATCTACCCCCCAAAAAAACTTCTAGCTGTAATGTCTTTACAAAGCCTTAATGGAACATTTTGTTCAGGCAAAGCTCTGGTTTAACTTTTGAGCCCTACTTCTAGAGCCCTTTTCCCTCTGGTTTCAGGCCCTCTCTTTAGCTTTTTTTATCTTCTTGACTTACCCTTTCTTCTTACCTCGCTTCTCAAGGCCCTTTTCCTATTTCTTCCTAAAACCATTCCTACCCTTCCCAGTCTCCTTCCCAATCCAACCATTCTCTCTGCCACTCACTCCATTTTATTGTGTACCAAAAACCAGATCCTGACAACCCCAAAGTGTTGTATTGCCTATGTGTACGAGATATTTCTATGGTTTCACTAAAATTACTAGTACATGTTAGCTATCATGTTTAGGCATCACCTCTACTGACATTCCAATTTAACTGTATTCACAAAACAAATAATTTTTGAAAGGTTTCATCCCAAGTATAAACTTCAAACTCCCTAATGCTCCAGTGGGTTTGAAATGTAATTACATGATTGCTGTATGAACCTATGCAATGGTCTGGAACCCTCTTTGAACTGAGAGCCAAACTTTTAGCTTCTGCCATATGTCGTGAATGAGCCACATGATGGTAGTCACACAGATGTCACTCCTAATATGTCATTTTTCTCAGACCTTTAATTTCAATTGACTTTTTTTTAGACAGTGGTGGATCGAATAAACATACTAATTATATTTTCATTCCTTGCTATATACATGTACAAAACCCATTCAGACACCTGGTAGCTCACATTCCAGACTCTGCATTTCATCTATTGGAAAGGCTGATCTGCATTCTACAGATCTCTCTAAGAGAAAGAGCATGTTAGAGGTTAAAGTGATGAAGGCCCAAACTTGGATATGTAAGAGTTCTGTATCCTGTGTCTGGCCTTTTCTAAGGTTTCTTGTGGTAAGCTAGCCTTTGCAGCTTGCAACTGAATGTTGCACAGAGAGCCCTGCCCATAGGCTACATGGGTGTCTAGCAGCCCTTGTGTAGACTCTTTCCTTAGAGGTGAATTTTACCCCATGCTCCTGTTTTCCCCCAGTTGTCAAATACGGAAAAAATATACCTATGTCACTGCTATGTTCTGAAAATAAATGCATTACTGGTTGCCAAGTACTTTAACAATCTTTGATGGAATGCACTGTAGAATTGAAAATTATTTTATTACATATGGTTTCCCATGGTTTATTATATATGGGTTGTGTATGTCTTCTTGTCTAGCATAGAATAAAATGTGTACATTAGCACATGTTAGCTGACAAATTTCAAAAAGTCTAGGTTAGACAAAGCATGTTCCCCTTAACATATGTTGATCTTGCTGAGTTAAATTCTTATTTCCTTCCAGACTTCAAAAATAGATACCATGGCATAAGCTCATGACATTTTATCCCTCTGGTCTATCTCTTTTGAACCTTTATTTTTGCATTTTTATTTTTACTTTACTTTATATAACATTATTTTATTTTTTATATCAAAGGTAGAAAAGATATTTCAAACTTGTAAAGCATTCTTTCATGGCTCTATACATGACAAATATATTGATTTTAATAAAATGACAATAGTTCAGTTAATGGAGCTGGATAGGAAATTTATTCCGCCCGCCTCTCCCTGTAAAAACGTTGGGTTTTGTTTGTTTATTTCAAAAGTTTGGATTTTCACTGCACACTCCAAAAATGTTTAACAATAATGGATACTTCCTTCAAAAATATTTTCTATCTAAAAAAATGTTCTGGTAGAGAAGTGTCAACAAACTTTCTTAGCAAGCGTAGAGCAGATGAGAAACAAAGTGTCCTGTATCACTGAACTAAGTTAATACAACAGTCATGGTTACATCAGATGTTTCTAGTTTTTTTTAGCTCCCTTATTAGGTTGGCAGTAAAATTCTGCCCCTAAACTAGAGACCACATAATGACCTTTAGTTAACAGCTTTGATTATTGCATTTGAATAAGCATCTCCCGGCATTGATGCAAGAGGCATGACCACCTCTTTGATTCCTGCTGTGACCTACTGAACAAATATTGACAAGCATCTTTCAATGTTCAGACCTGCTGCTGTGTCACACAAGCTATTGCAATGTGTGACAAATTACCAAAATGTGGAATGCATCTATTACACTGCACCACAACTGGCAGATCACAATGGCCGTAAAGCATGAAACCTTCCTAAGCAAAGTTTTCTCTTTTGGAAGGAAAGAAAATGCTTCTCTCATCTGTACAAGGTTAATTGTGTGGGGTGGGATGCCTGTTACTGATTGCTAAACTGGTTTTTTCCTTCCAATGAGAAAACAGGTTTTATCATTTAGAACAAATTATAATCTGATGTGCATTAAAATACTCATTTTCCACATTCTAGCCATTTGGAAATATTTCTAGGGAAGTTTCCTTGCCCAGGCTTCTCCTGGTACACTAAGGAGGCAGATGCAGAGAGAGAAGAATGGTTCCTACTCGGACTGCCTCCAAATTCAATTCTTGCAGGCCTCCCACATTCAATTTGCACCCAAATTTACAATAAATTAATACCAGCTGTCCCATTTGCCAGCTAGTAATGGTTACCCACATACTAAAGCAGCCCTTAATGATTATTGCCTGCCTCCATACCATGGCATCACCCCCATATGCAATAAATACAGTCCACACCCTTTCCCACTCTTAGGGCAGTGGCTGCTCCTACCTCTTCAGGATTGATTGTCTGGTACTCTAGGGAGCAGAGGATGCACCTGCTGTTGCAGCATTATTGAGCCACCTGCTCATCACCACCACCCCTCCTGGAGAAGAGTCCCTGGGAGAAGCAGTGGGGCGCTGCTTGGAAATCAGCAGTTAAGACTGGGTGAGGATAACTAGGATTAGGGGGCATGGAGCATGCCTGAGTTGATGGACTGTTCCTAAAGGACACCAAAGATCACAGGGCACAGCCAAACAGGGAACCTGGGATGTTTCCACAATCCACTGCAGCTAAAGCAAGTCAACTGCACAGCACCCATGGCAAAAATAGTTCTTCTCTACTCATCTACTCAACCATGCTATTAAACAACATGTGGAAATCATTCATTCCACTCCCACCAGTGGAAGCTGCCACATGAATCTTCCACTCAGAAGCCACACAAACAATTTTTCTTATGAATGAGAAAAAGGGGAAAGAGAGACATGCTTCTTTCCCCCGCCTCACTCTTCTGCTCTGTGTGGGGGAGGGGAGGGGGAAAAGAGGGGGAGAATTTGTATCCTTATCTTCAAACACCTAGGAGATGTACCTCCACTCTACCTCATTCAACCACATGCAGCATCCAGGAGAAAGTGAAGTGAAAAGCTCTTATCACATAGAAAAGAAGCAGTTGCCCATGCTTTTTGAAAGGAAATGACTCCATCAGTCTCCTCTATAGGTACAAGGCAGACATGCAGTCTGAATGCAAGCCATTAGAAAGCATTGTGAAAAAGCCAGTGTAGAGTGGAGCCATGCTAGCAGAATGTAGGCTAATGAAACTCCAGACCTATGATGTAAAAGTAAGGTGCTGTCCATTCCTGGCAACAGCTACAATGAGTAAGATACCCATTCCAGGGGCTCTCTTGGTACAGGAGATAATTTTAGCAACATGCTATCTAATGAGAGGCTCCAGGATATCCAAAAAATAACTGTTCATAAGCAGGTCTTGAAAATGATAAGATCATCCAGAGTCTAGTGTTAGCCAGATCACAAGGCATACGTGTCACAGAAGGCTACACCCTACTCCCGGATAAGGGACAAGCCTTACCTGGTAGTAAGGAATAAGATGGAATTGTCTTTAAAAGGTGACCGAGTAGTAATCCCAGCATAATTAAGAGCTGATATCATGAGATAGATATGCTTCACACCTGGAATAATGAAACAAAACATGTACTCATACAGGCAGGAAGGCCCAATTGAGAGTATATATGGAACAGGCATCAGTTGCCAAGCTCTCTGCCCAATGTGAAACAGTGGAACAGGTTAATGTGCTCCATGGAACATATTAACGCACTCCTGAAATTCCAGTCTGACTTTGGTAAACTGTTGGAACAGATCTTTACACAACAGATTACTTTACTGCTCCTGCTACCGTAAGGTGAGCAACGTGGCAAGAACTGTGTACAGTTCCTGTTCACAGGCACATTTTGCAAGACATGTTATACCTGCTCTGCTATACTCAGACAATATGGGCCACAGTGCACTGCAGAAGAATTCAAACAGTTCATCCTCAAATGGGAGTTTGTCCTGGGTACTGACAAAATACTGGGAAGGCAGTCAGGTGTAAAGACAGCCAAGAGACTGATGGCAAAGAAACAGTCAGGATGGGATTCTTACTTGGATCATCAAAATAAACCTGCTAATGACTAGATGGTAGTCCAGCACTATCAGAGTGCTGTGGTCAGAGAACCAAGTAACTGATCGGTGGGTAGCCCAGCAGAGTAACAGATAGTATTGAGACACCATTAAAAGAATTCCAAGCTAAACAGGCAGATCACTGCAATAGAGCAGCAAACGACAAGAGGGCGCTGATGAGTAGCTTTGGATCAAACCATCATATAGTCTCATCAAGCATGGGGCGGGAGTGGCAGGAAATATATTGGAGGGGAGGAGTTTTCCTTCCAGGACTGCAGAGGTCAGAGACCTAAAAATAGCCTGGTCAGGGTGGGAGGGTAGGAAAAGCACAGCCCCAGGGCTGGGGCAGGTGGCTGGGCTTTCCAAGCCCCAGAGGTGCGCTCCTAATACGTACATATGTTCCGTTAGTTTGAGCACAGGTTAACCTGACCGACATAGTGCACATCCTAAGTTAGATCAGGCCAGCCATTTTTTGCCCAATCTAAATTCTTCAAACTAAGTTCAGTTCAGAACTAAGATCCACCTAACCCTAGTTATGTCAATCTAAATGTAACATCTTTACCCTATGGCAGTGGTTCCCAAACTCTGATAGACTGCGCACCACCAATTTAAAATGATACAACCTTAAGTACCACCAGCACATTTTTCAGTTCAACCTAAAGTACCACCAGCAAAGTTTTGTCATATAAAGTAATTATACTACTTCTGTTAATGCATACCATTGGGAACCACTGCCCTATGGTCATCTATACATATGCTCCAGGGTGGGAGCACTTTAATTACAGGGCTCTCTAAGCCATTTTAATTAAAGCACAAGCAGTGTCACATGTACTCAGTGTCCCGTCCTTCAAAATGGCAGCAGGGGAGCTTGAACTAAAGTTCGTTCAATGACCTTTAGTTCAAGTGCCCCCGCTGCCATTTTGAAGTGTGGGGATGCTGAATAGATGTGACACAGAGGCTGCTGGAACATGTTAACATGTTCCATGTTAATTGATTAGTCTTCTCCAACGTGTGCTAATCAGCACACATTGGAGCAGATGTTCGGCAAATATATAGGTGTGCTATGACTCTTTCCATTGACTTCACTGGACTTTGGGCAACAGCCTTAATGCATATTGTTACATAGAAATATAACCCTCTACAAGTAATTTTCAGATAAATGAAGTTTATTGTTAAATACAGAATAACTATTCCTGGGGAGGATTGTAAAGCACAAAATCAAACCGCAGTATGTTATATGCTAAATTATACTGTTTGCTTGCTCTATATTTTCATACAAAGTAGGCCTCTGAAAATGTGAAATATGAATTTATATAAATGCTCAAAATGTTTTTAATTTCTTAAAAAATTAGAACTTATTTATGAATTCAGGAATTTGAATGTTTAATAGTATTTCGTTATTTAAACAGAACTTAAAAGTACTAGAAGTCACAAGACATGAGGATCTTAGTCTCCAAAGAACTAAGCTACAAACCACTGCCTTTGTATTTTTTTCGTATTTTAAACTAAATCACTATTGAAGTTAAACAAAGCAATAAGCAATGGGGAGAGTTTTTACACATATTTTAAAAATTGTCAGTTTTTCTTTCAAGAACTACTTTATTGAAGTCATTTTGCAGAGAGATTAAAGAAACAGACACTCAGCTTGAAGCCAACATACAGCAAACTACAGAAGACTTTAAAAACTTGAAGGTCCTGAATCCACCACTGCAATACTTGCTAATGCTTTCTTCCTTTCTGCTCCATGTGGATTTGTAATACACATCTCTCATCCCCAAGCTTTTTGCAGGTTTTGAATGTTTCCAAAAGTATTCCAGCTGTTGAAGTGTGAGGGAAGCCTAAAGGAGATTGGTCTTTATTTCTTGACCCCAGTCACATGACATGGATCAAGGTTAGAAAACTTTATACCACTGTAACATACTAGGGTCAACATCCAGTGACTCTAGTGGATACTGTTAGACAGACCTCCCAAGTCAAAGACTTTTCTCAACAGAGTACTGACTTTTTGTCCCCTTCTTTTGGGAAACGCATCCAATTTACTGTTTTTTCTGGCTCCAGAATCCATGCAAGCGGGATTTCATATTAGAAGATGATTTGTTAGAATTAAAAGAGGCTCTGGGGTTAAGACATCTAAAATAATCTTTTGTTTCCCTGACTTTCTCATCATTTAAATTATGTAAATCCACATTCCCCAGGCTCCCTGTTGAGGCACAATTTTAAATAAATGTTTTTCTTTGTTTCCGTATGGGTTGTTTAAGTTTTGATATCCATATTTCTCAGATTTTCCATTCAGCTTTGCAGCTTTTCATGAGAATTTCGTTCACACTCCCTTGGAATCATTTCATTGAGTCACTGAACAAATACTATTGCAGAAGAAATAAATCTAAATAGTACAGCAAAAAGTAAATCCTGAACTGCTTCTGGTGCAACCTTAAGGTATCATTAACAGTTCTTCTAAGTATGCCAGTGACTTCAGAGGTATCCTACAATTATTTTATACAGGTGTCAGATAAATGTACCATATGACACACATTTGTAATAGGAGTACTGTTAATTTAAACAAAATTGTCTTTCTGAGAAGGAAGCAGACAACTGCACTTCACAAACATACACACACATTAACTGCCTTATACTGAAAATGTTTATACTTTATTCTTGAAAAGTTGATGAGTAAATTGACATTTTGGTAAAGTGTTTGACTTTTAAAATCTGAAGAAGTAGGTCTAAAGGCAGCCTCCCATTTTATGCCATATTTTCTTCCATACCACATTCCTCAAATCAGGCATGCACCTTGTTTTCTGAAGGCAGAATATAGGAATGAAAAAATTATTTTCTAGGGTAATGGCCAATAGAGATGACTACATACAGCAACTCATGAATGCTTAGCCAGCTCAAATATTTGCATCCAGCACAAGCTATAGTGTTGGCAGTAATTTTTGGCTCAGCAGCCAAAAGCTGCTTCCAATTTGGCAGTGGCTATGAAAGGTTACATCTAGACTCCACCCCTGCTGCTCATTGGCTCAGAGGGAAGTCAACCATTTTGGCAGCCATTACAGAGTACAGTCTCCA